GGCCACCTCCTCCTTTGTAACGGTTGTACCAGCCTTCATCCTGCTCCTCCCCTCACTGTGGCTCCTTATCTCCACGGCCACACAATATCAATAAACAATATATAAATATTTATTGACAATCGTCTGTTGAGGCAGATGTACAGATCAATATATCACGACTATTATTATTTTTTTTTTTTTAGGGCCAAGCACTGAAGAAAAAAGCCTTTCAACTCTACCTATATACCGCTGGATTTGCAACCAATCCCTCCTTTATTTTTCTTGGTCCTCAATGGATATAAAAATTTCGTAATGCGTTGCCTTCACAAAGAAAACTTCCTAAAACTTATCAACCAAGGTAAGTAAAATATATATATACATATAAGAATAGATTGAATGCTCCTCCACCTCTCCAGAAACACTCACTCACTCGCGCTATTGAAAAAAAAAAAAAAAAAAAAAAACAATAAATAATAAATAATTACCTCTGGAATATATCTCCGCCACAATCATGCATTACAACAATAAAATCCAAGCACTAAGCAAATAACTTAGCCAACTTTACCGCCCCTGACTCTTGGACAGAATTCCACCCCTTGTCAATAAGTTGCACTGCGGAAGCATCCCCTTTTACCCGATCCTTCAGTTGTGTAAGTAGGTCCGGCTCACCATGACGACGGCAATCTGCTCCAGCTCCTTCCCAATCACTACACAATAGATAATATTCCATTCGCTGTTCAATTTGAGGGATCTTATGTATATATTGCTTGGCTTGTTCCTGACGCCCACAAGCAAGTAGTGTATTGATAAAGGCAGAGGCTCCAATGACAGGCTTGTTCTTATTTTTAACGTCACCCAGTTGATCAATGAGTCCCCACTGTGACATCGTTGTGTATGCATCTAGCATGGACCAGCAATGCATCTTGTCAGAAACCCCAAATTCTCTCTTAAGACGCCCTGCCACCCCATCACAGCCATGTTCATGGCAAAGAACAATCATTCGTTTGACACTCGCATTAAGAAAGCGTTTATCATTATACTCTCTCACCAGTTTTGTCTGTTCATCCAAAAGTTGCATATGTAAACGAACCCAATTCTCATTTGTTTGAGAAGATGTAGAAAACCCACTAAGAACCACAGCATGAGGAAGCGCGTTTCTTACAATAGCACTATTAGAAAAGCCGCCAGGAATTTCTCGTTTAACTGAAATAGCAACGTTTTCAATGGCAGTTAGTTTTTTCTGTTGTAATATCTCCCAATTGCTGTTTTTTTTCAAAAGTGATTGTTTCACACCTTCTTCCTCCCTCAAGTAATTTAAAATATCCATATAAGTTTTGTGTTCCGGATGTGTTTTATGATGTTCCATAAGAAGCTCTCGATGGATTTCAGAAAAAGTGGCATATAAAAGAAAAATCTTTTCCGTAGTCGAATCGCTCATTAAGAGAGGAAGAGCCTCGCATACCCTGGTGAGAGATAAGGTACATCATAG